AGACGAAGAAAACAAATGTCACAATTCTTATACTAGGAGAGATTGAGGATTTAAAAATATTTCATTATAAAGTTAAAACATTAAAAGTTGATTCATTAACTATGTTTTGATGTCATGTATATTCATTTACATTGATAATAAATAAGTTTAATTAAATATTGAATGTAACTCTGTAAAATGTCATGAAGTGCATTTTAACTTACTCGCTGTGAGAATGTTAATGTTATTCTTATAGTTAATATACAAGTATAAATAGTTCAGAAAAATGTGTTTAAAAAATTCATTACAAGTTCTTGAGTTAAAGTGATTCACACTCTCCTGTACTCTGAGTTTTTATTGAATTTATTTATTTGGGTTCCTTTAAGTAACATTAACATTATTGCTCCTTTTTTTTATGTTCATTTGACTTTTTTGGTATAAATATTTAAATTATTTCAATAACTGTGTCTTGTGACAGAGGTTTAGATAATGATTTTTGAGAGCATTTTATTGACCTTCATCCTTGTCTTAAACCTACATAGTTTAATGGTCATTACTGCATCTGCAGATTGATTTCTTTCAAACAAGTCTACCATGAATTGTTTTAATCATTTACTCAGTTACAAGTTAAATTGGATTTTTTGTCTTCTTCTGATAATACATTTTTGGAAGAGCCAAAACAAACTTTTGGCTAGGTTCAGTGAGTGCTGTAATAAAATTGAAAATCTGTGTTTTCATTTATTTATAATGTAGTGTGTGAATTTGCAGGTAAAATTAAAACAAACACTTATAATTAAATTATTGGTTATAACAGTAGTAAACACTAAATTTTATTATTGGATTTATGCTAGTGGGATTGTACTTTTATTTTTTCACGGAGTCATTAGAGTAATAACCAAAATATCCGCCTTTGGATTTAAAAACAGATTTTCTTTGTCATGGCACAGAATTAATTTATCAAAATATGCAGGGCTAGGACTTAAATATATTACTACACTTATGTTACATTATGTGTCATTGCAGGTTTCACATCTTTGTCAATTTCATCCCACACAACTTTATTATCAGTGTGATGGTTAAACCATGTTTTGGATGTACACCTTGTTATACCTTTTCTTCAGTATAGCCTCATCATAGTTTGATATATGCTTCAGATCATTGTCTTGTTTGAAAAATGATACCTTACACTTGTTTCGTCAATAAATTTAACACTAGAGAGTATAGCTTGTCTTTTGTGGAGTACTTCAGTAGTTCTCAGTTTGCCATGATTATGCAAGTATAACCTGCTCTGTTTGTAGCAATTTAACCTTGAAATATGATCTCCATACAGTCCTGCTTATCTGTATTAAGTTTTCATTTATTCTTATTTTTATTTGTAGGATTGTTATTAAGAAACAATTTGGTCATTTTAATGAATCTGTATTTAAGTGAAAATAAGTATGATTACACTTATATGTGTTTCATTAAATAATTTAGTCATTATTACTGTTATAACCATTAAATTTGATTATAAGTGTGTCTATTTTCATGTTTATTTTTGGGCCATTCAATAATAATAAAACCCAGTAGTTGATACAGGGCCATCATTAAGGGTTGTCCAGTGTCCAAGACAAGTGAAAATTTGATTTCGACAACTGAGTTTATGTATGTACTTTTCTGATCAGACGATTGTAAAATTATTGGTGTAAACTTTGTTATTATTGATAATATATTGAATAATTAATTGTAGAGCAAAATTTACAAAAAGATAAGCTATGATTTGCTGTTATGTTTTTCTTTGTTGGGGCCATGTTATGAGTACATCCTAGAGTGATTGAGTTTTCTATAAGGAATCACCAATTTATGAAAAGTGTGAAAACATGCATTTTATTTTGTTATGGGCATATTTAACCAGTCAGCATTCGTGCTTTTTTTTAACCTTGGTAAAAGTTTACAAAATGGTGGCCCAATCAAACAATTCTACAAAAGTTTCAAAGTTTCCAATTTTTTGGCCATCTTAGGCATGATAAGTTAAACGTAGGTTGAGATGCAATGCTGTTGTTAGCTGGTTGTTTGGCTTTGGTTTCATTATTTGAATTAATAGGGCTTATTTTTTCCTTAGCATCCACATCCACTCATCTTTTATTGAGTCTATTATTTTAAAGTTTTCATGTTTGGCTTTTCACTACAGTTCTTGTTTAGGTGGTTGTAAATTCCAGAGTTATTGGAAGGGATATTTTTCACATACTCCTTGTAGCCAGAGTTCGTGACATTGACCCAATGTAGCCATGCTGCATAAACATTGAAAAAAAATGTGAATTGGAATAGAATAGAATAGAAATTTAAATCAGAAAATGTTGAAAGCAATAAGAAATACAAGGAGAAGCAAAAGAGAGGATTTATTGAGTTGTAAAGAGAAGCATTGTTAATTTGAAAAGTTTACATCCAACTGTGTTAGAATTGAACTAAATAGTGTTATGTTGTTATTAACTAAGCTTTGGCAATGTAAAGAGAAGTGTGCTCTTGTCAGTTTGAGCAAATTTTCTGTGTAAAACTTCATTAAATTTCCTATTAGCTGTTGCAAATCTAGTATTGTATTAATTTATCAGGAAAAAAAATAATAAAACACCAAATTATTGAAAGGCCAAGCATTTTTTACACTAATAATCTTAAGGAATTGAAAATGAGTTTCAGGCAAGTGAAATCTGCTACCTACTTACATGAAGGGACAAGTGAATTCTCATGTTAACGACAAGCTCTACAATAACTTATAATGGGAAGAATCTTGCTGTACAATTGTATCATGTGTTCACTGTATCTTTGTGAGGTGCAGTATCTTCTACTAATTCAGCACTTGTGAACTCTATAACTTCCCAAATCAAAATCCCTGTTTCTTATTTGAGACACTTCTTTGATTCCCAACATTTTTTTTAGATAGTTTCTTTTGAACATACAGTAAAAATATAAAAGTAGTGTATTTGTTATGTATGAATAGCAGATGTATGTAGCATACTCTTGAATGTTCCCATCGAAATTCTATATAGAACTCTCCTTTTATTTCAACCAACCAATTAAATGCTTCACTCATATCTCTCTCTCTTGGTAATTGCTAAAATGTATTTTCCAATGAACTATCAACTCTTTTGTGACAGTTTTTTACTTTGGATTTTAAAAATGTTAATTTCTAGATTCCAAATTTCTAGCTTATTGAGAGCATTAAAATTTAGCATTAGATTCAACATAATCTGGTTGCTTTGTTTCCTCCATCTTTGTACATTCTGATAAGGAAAGTGTCTAAGCTTGTATTACATCGTGACATAAAGTTGCCAGAATAGTAACTCAGTGATGCTTGTCAGTTACAAAAAAGTTTTCATAAAACTATTTTAACGAACTTCAAAAGAAAAACTTTATATATTTTTCCACTTTCTGTAATTAATATAGATATTTAACTTTTTTTAATTGATGTTTTAACATTTATTTAGTATTTTTTTATAATAACAGCTTTGATACTTTATATATATATATATATATATATGTATGTGTGTGTGTGTGTGTGTATATATATAT